GTGTGTGTGTGTGTGTGTGTGTGTGTGTGTGTGTGTGTGTGTGTGAGTGTGTGCGTGCATGCGTGTGTGTTTTCTAAAGCCACAGAAGTAAAGGTGCTCTGACTCTTATGCATTGGGACCCTTACTTTGCAAAAAGAATATCTCATCTTTTTTATATGAGCTTTACATCTGCAAGTAAATCTACAAATCTACTCAAAATAACACTAAATGAAATCAAAGTGTCAGTCTCTCCACTCTCATCAAAAGACTTCTGTGAAAAATCAATAAGATATGCAAACAAAGGGCTGTTCGGGCTGAGGCAGAAATCTCTGGTGCCGTTAATGTATAATGATGGTCTTTCTCAAGAATTTCCAAAGGAGGAATGAACCGCTCACACCTCTGAAGTGCAAAGTCAGAGGCGGTGCTGCATCGCCTATTCACTCCACTTTTTTAATTCCCCAACTTAGCCTGGGGTTAACTAAAGGTGTGGGACATGATTTAGGTTCCTGATACATCAGGCTCTTAGCAGATCTCTTTGCTGTACCTTATATCCCTCCTGCAGAAAATCAACCCTGTATAGGGGGCGAGGTTGCCTCATCAAACATTGCACACAGACACACAAGTACACATTCTAGAGTACTTAAGGTCCACTGAGTCACTGACTCTGCTTGCAGATTGCAGTGACATTTACTAATGAGGGTAATTAGTCTTAATTCAGGGACTGGAATTACAGAAGTGGTGGTGCTGATGATGATCACCAAAGAGATTGTAGTGATTATGAGCTTGAAAATATGGTGGGCGTACATGGCCAGAGAACGGCTTTCTTCATTGTCTTAATTACTGTATCCAAATTGTTACAAATGCCTTTTATCTGTGGTATTTTACAGAATTTAGAGGATGAATATTCTCAGCTCTGCTGTGGTCTCTCGCTGCTTGATAGCCTCCATCCTCTTCAGTGAGAAAGTGTTCCTTGTTGTTACTTCAATCCATGTTTCCAGTCAGATGTTTAATGTTGTGTAACTCGTGTCTCCGTGTTTTGTAGTCTCCGTCTCATTTGTGCTCTGTTTACCCATTGGCTTACCATCAGAATGTCTCAGTGAGCCGCCAGGCTGTGTTTGTTAAATCGTTTGTAATTATCCTCAGGCCTCCCTTGGGCAATGCTCCCAGGCACCTCTACAAGTATGTGTCGCTCCGAGTAACCCTTTTTTTAAATTGTCTTTGCAGGACGCTTTGGAACATGCTCAACATTATAAAAGTACAAGTAAGTGCAAGAGGTTTTATGAAAGCATGCTGGTGTTCAAAGCAAACATCTGCTGTAATTGTAACTCTAATCTTACCAGTTCTTGCCTTATTCTCCCCTTCAGTATATTTATCTGCTCCATCTTGTATCAAGATTTTTTAAGAGAGTTTATAAACAGTTATCTAACCTATTACAGCTCCTTGAATTATGGAGCCTGCGAGGGGACACAGGAGATTTTTTTTTAATTTTGCGTTCCCACGCAGTAGTATTGTGTTCCCTCGCAAAAGTCGTTTATCACTGTTGTGCCTGCCGGTTTATTAACATATTCACATGTTCACCATTAGCGAGTTAGCCTACAGCTTTAATTCAGCTTCAGAATGTATACATCACACAACCAAGAATGGAAGTATGTCATATGCCAATATTTTAACACAGCGCAGCCACAAAACATCAATGTCAATTTCACGAACTTGTGGTGACACATCCTGTTTTGGTAGCCGGATATTTCAAAATAAATGTCTGATTTAATTCAGTTCATATACAAAACAAACTTTTGCGTGGGAACACAAAACAGTTTTGCGAGGTAACGCAAAACGTTTTGTGAGGTAAAGCAAAAGTATTGCGAGGTATTGCAAAGATATTGCAAGGTAACGCAATAGCAATAGTGTGGGAATGCAAAAGAAAAAAAAAAACCTGTGTCCCCTGGCGGGCTCCATATCAAATAACCCCAGCTTGGATAAAAAATAATTTTGACTGAAACAATGAGTATTGCTGCTATAAGAAGCAGCAACACATTGGTGTTAATGTGAATCCTGCTGTTTGTTCTTAACCTTTACAACACCATTGGTTTTACATGTCATTTTATTCACGCACAATTATCTTGTTAATTCAATGCACATATAGTGACAACAGCAGGTAGTTAAAGCAATTCTGGTGCAAGAGGAGAATGTGTTGCAGAAATGACAATATTTCTACTGAAATAAACATCCATCCATTATCTATACTGGCTTTTTGCTTTCAGGGTCATGGGCGTCCCTGGTCCCCATAACCAGCAGCCACTGTGCGAGGGGCAGGGTACATTCTTGTTTTTGGTCTGTGGGAGAAAGCCGGAGTATAGAGAAAACCCATGCATGCATGGAGAGAACATGCAAACTCTACACAGAAAGGTCCCCGAGCTCGATTTCGACCCAGCAACCTTCTTGCTGAGGGTTATCAGCTCACTTTGTCACTGAAAAAAAAACAAACATGTAATGTAAAACTGACAGCAAAGGTCTATAACAGGAGTGGAGTACTCTGGTTCTCAAGGGCCGCTGCCCTGCATGTTTCCCTTGTTTCCCGGCTACAACACGTCTAATCCAGTTATTGAATTTCCTCTTTCAAGTTCTGCGAAGCTTGGTAATCATCCGTTCATTCAAATAAGGTGTTTTGGAGTAGAGAAACTTGTAAAATATGAAGATTAGTGACCCTCAAGGACCAGAATTGCCCACCCCTGGTATTTAGGTAGTGTTAGCATAAACCACTATGAAATAAATAAATAAATAAATAAATAAATAAATAAATAAATAAATAAATAGTTTGCTTTTTTTGACCACAGCAACTTGCTTTAAAAGTGGCTACACTTGGACCAAGTATTTTTAGGTCATCATTACAGTCTTTTTCCCAGTTTCTAACCAATCTGGTTTTCAAATTTTCACAGCAAAACTTGACTTTATTCAAACCCCACGTTAGCTTATCTGTCGATCAAACATAAATTGTATTTTTTTTAACTGAGGCTTTTTAAACAGCAACCATATATAATATGAATTGTCCAACACAACTTGTTTTGTAACATATCAGACTCATGTAATGCAGTAGTTTGAGCTATACATGTTTTGGATTGTGAATTAAATGGATTCTAAAACATTGTGTTTTAACCACTCTTCCCCACTCCTCTTTCACATTTGGGCTCCTCCAAAAAAAAACAAAAAAACTCTGCTTTTCATTTGTTGTCCCTGCAGCTCAAAATCATATTTACATGTTTTGTTTTGTTTTTCTTTCTTTTTTTCCCTGTTTGCCTATGACTCAAGGTCTATATGATGCTCACAACCTTGTAAGGCATTCTCACCCTCTCCTATTATTTACTTTATACAGTCACAGCTTTTACCTCATCTCGTGTTTTACAGGTTTTATTAGATCTAAGCTTCTAAAATGGTGCATTCCACTCTTGCAATTACATCTTGAAATAGATTTACACCCCTTATAGGTGGGAAGACACCTGAGATAACACTTCAAACAAGGCACATCAATATCCTTAAGCTGTGGGTTGCTCTTCAGTAGGAGAGTGTGCCCCTCTAGGTTTTCAGCCTCAGAGCTCTCTGGAGACAGTAATCTACCCAAAGTGAAACATACATAGAGCACTGAATTGTATTTTTAATGGTCAACAAACATATTTGCTTTAATGTAGACCACCTACTGAATTCTCATGTTGCTCCACTTTTAAATGCCCCTCTGGGATCAACAAAGTATATATCTATGAAATGGTAAAACAGGAAAATACTTCAGTTTTGACAGAAAATAGTTTGCTTAGGATTACTTTTGTGTTAAACAAAATGACAAAAGATATCCATCTATTTTTTTTTGTTTGTTTGTTTGTTCCTACAGGCATCTCTACCACCAGACTCAAATTTTTCAGATTAGAGGGTCACTGGTTCATCTCCCTGACTGAAGCTGTGCTTTACTTTCACAACTGTTGGGACAGATGGCTCCTCTCCCTGAGGATTGTTTTGCTGCTGAAAAAGAAGATTTTTTTTCCCTCCAGTGTTTTGAAGTTCTTGCTTAAATTAAATTGTTGAGGTTTTAATGTGATGTGCCCTCAGATGATTTTGTGTTGTGATTTGACACTACACAAATGGGGAGAGAGAGAGAGAGAGAGAGAGAGAGAGAGAGAGAGAGAGAGAGAGAGAGAGAGAGAGAGAGACAGAGACAGAGACAGAGACAGAGGAACTCCTGCAAGGGCATATAGTAGAATGAACATGTCAAAGCAGATGGACAACAGCTAATAGCAAAGTTTTGTTTGTGCTACTCACCCCTTTCAACATGTAGGAGTAACCCAAACTCATCCTCGGTCCAACTGAAGGTTCCAGTATTCACCATTTCAGATGTAACTGCTTTATCATGCTTTCACATGCTCATCATGTTGAAGTCTGGCATCAGTGTGGCCAGATAATTATCATCTAAGCCCCCTTTTTTTTTCCTGTGCAACTGTTCACCAATACCAACACACACCTCATCTACCCCTTCCAAATATTTGTGTTAGAATGTTTATTCATTTCATTAAAAAAAAAAAAACCCATTACATACAACTAAACAACACAAATCAAACAAAATGAATGGTGGCAGAAGAAGAAAAAAACCGTATTTGCACCCTCGCCCAGTAAATATTTGGGTCAAAATACAATGATTTTAAAGCAACAGTATGAAAGTTCATCATTTCCTATTTGGCATCCTTGCTTGACAAAGAAACAGAGGATAAATTAAAACTTTTTTTTCATTGTATTTCCCAGAATCAACATTGAAAAAAAGCACTATATTTCCAGAGATTGTTCATGTCTAAATGGGTTGAGACTGGCGAACAAAGTGACTGCAGTTGTGACGTTTTAGTGTGCAGTGATGCCTTTTTTAGCTGGTTTTCATAAAGCCTCTTATTAAACTATGAAAACTTTCTTTGAACTTACAATCACACACAAAAAAAGCATACATCTGAAATCCAGAGCTGACAGCCCTCAGAAATGATAAATAAATCCCCACCCCGACAGAGCTCACATCTAATGATTATTTTGTGAAGGTAGTTTAAAAAAAATCCACACACTTGTGTAAAGTCCAGTGCCTATATTTTTATTAACAGTAAATTTGTTCGTTTACACAGCAGAAAAAAACAGTTATCTTTTATTTGGAGCCACATGTATAGGCAGGGGTTCTTCTTCTTTTTTCATTTTCCATCATCATCAAAGTTTGAGTGGGTTTGCTGTGAGCAGGTTCCATATCACTGTACCTATCTCGTGTGTCTCTATATTGTGATTTTAATAACAGTGACTCAGCTGACACTTTTTTCATGTTTTTTCGCTCATGTTTTTGTTTTTGTGCCAGATATGATTTAAAATGTATGTAACAAAGTACAAAAAATGGAACCAAAATATAACTTAATTGCAGTGATAGTAAATGCCCTTTTTTATTTCAACATCTTGTTTTAATCATGAACTGGTAACAATCCTCTCTACAAGACATAGGCCAGAGAAATAAACTTTTATTGTCTTTATTTTTGTTTTGTTTTAAATCTCTGATTTCATGCTAAAGGGCCAGACTAATTTAGTACTGCAAGGTTAAATTAATTAGGGGACGCTTCACATAAATATCAATTTATTTTGTAGTGAGGCCTTCATGGAGGATAAGATCACTAATTTGAAAGTTGAGAAGCAAAGCTTTTCTTGCTGATGATGAGTTGACGAAATGGAGGGCTCGCATTCAGGATACAGCCAAATAAAATACAACAGGCGAGGGTTTATCGTGCAATGTTGTGGTCATCCATGAGTAACTAATCCACAGGGCAAATGTAAAGTTTGAGGATATTAAAATGGTTCAAAACGGCAATAGTCCAGATGTAAAGGAGGTCAGACATGCAAAGAACAGCAAATTGTGGGAACAGACAAAGAAAAAAAAAGGAGACACAAGGGTGGGGAAGAAAGGCTGGAAGGCATGAGATACAATTGCTCTCCAAAAAAAGAGAGTACATATAACCAATAAAGTGACTGACAACTAACAAAATCCAACTGAGATAATCAACTAAACAAAAAGAGGTGTGAAGCAATTTACCCCTCAGTTTTTGGATTTCCCCGTCTTGTCTTTGTTGTGTGTGCCCTCTTATTGAACAAATCCTCAGGATATAATGCGATTGACGTCTAGACTCCCTGGAGCTCTCATGTGAACCTGTCTGTGCATCCTGTATAGCTGACTTTGTCCTCTTCAGATCACACAGAGGACTGTCATGTGCACGTAATTTGCATCTGCAGCATGTCATCTGGATTTGAAAGTTTGAGATCATTTATTAGAATGTGAGGAGACTGAACTGTGTGATCCCGCGGCTTTGGAAATGGATCAGTCGAAGTGCGTGACAGAGAGTCTCTCCCGTGGCAATATCTAGTAATGTGTGTGAAAACAGCAAAGAAAGGTGATGAAATTCTCCCGCTTTTCCCAGCCCGTGTCAGTGCACTTTCAAGTGAAACCAAAGAGCCTGAACCAAAGGGAAGAATGAAAATGATATATAATAATCATAATATCTGTGTTTTATAGCTTGAAATATTGCAGCTATTGGGAAGATAGCAGATAGACCAGCACAAATGTCAACCCAGTGGAGCCAGTCTTGGTTAGAAAGGAAGGTAAAACAGTGTCTTGATGGAAGAGAGTTGTGAGGGTTGAGTGGCCGTGGATGAAAGCAGCTCCAACGCTTTCATCTCTGGATTGTGAAAAGTGGGAGAAAAAAAAAAAGAAGAAAATCCATCCCTCTACTAAGTCTGCAAATTACTCAGGGCAAAGGTGAAAGGATCTGAACTCTAAAAAGCTTTAGCTCTTCTTAATATTTCAGGACTTGCATCTTTCTTGAATCGCCTCAGCATGTTTAAAATGTCAACAAAAATACCAACTGTTTAAAAATTCATGTGTGAGTCAACCTGCCGGGTTCTGCAAATATTTGCTTTTTGTCGAACTTTGTCACCTGACAGTGATGGTTTGCTAATTTTGGAAAACCCCTTAGATTTCAGCTCTTTAACCAAATCCTCAGAAATACAGACATTCTGGTGCTATGGTTTTGTTTTTGAGGAAACTAAGATGTTCTTTTACATACATCTGTCAAATGCTCCGTGACTGTGGAGGGCCAAAGCCTGTAACATCTGACAGTGAGTGAAAGGCAGACATGTTCATCCAATGATTACTTACTGAGAGTTTCATTCAAATTCATGAGATGTTTTGCTCACAGTGCAGACAAGCAATGATGGACAGACAGATATTGCTCTACCTTTGCTTTTATCTGAGTGATAACAAAACATTATGCACAATTACTTGAACTGACTATTTGTTATCACCTTTTGAACTAATGCAGCATGCAACATTTTGTACATGTATAATAATTAAGAACAATATGGCAAGTTGTTTGTTCAGTTTAAAACATAGAAAGGCAACAATTCAAAAAGGCCCACACAATAATGTTTTACCCCCAATTTACAATGCACATGATTTTGCTCTGCTTCACAGCACCAACCCCATCATTCATTTCCACCCCAATTTACACTGCCTTCGGTTAACAGGAAATGTGATATCATGCAAAACATTTAGTAATCAATGGAGGATCTATGATGTTTCAAAGTAAGGGCCTTCAAGGGGCAACAATATTTATAAAGGGGCCAATTATTTGTTTAACATGCTTGCACACAATTTCTTGGTTTTAGCGAAGTGTATACATTTCACTTGTCACACGTGCAAACACGTGCAACGTAATGTTACAAAAAAATACATAGTAAATTATCCCTACCGATTTTACATGCATTTTTACTGATAAAACACTCTTGAACACACAGCATGTGAGAAATCCCAGCCATAGTTTGTCAGGTGAAGGACTTTCTGCAGAACTGTTCAAATCTTCTTGCAAAGGTAAGACTTCTGCAAGCTGGATCCATGCTCGACTTTCTTATTTGACTCAATAGCATCTCTAGTGTTTGGACATGGAACTGCACCAATCGTCATTGCTCCGTGCAAAGGACAGATGAGTGACAGACAGGGCCACAGGGGACCAATCAGATTTCAACAGGGGGTCAATGCTCCTGTGACCCCGCCCTTAGAACTGCCCCTGGCAGTGATAAATATGAAAGTCAGAACATATTAATTCTGTAGAATACACAGCTGAAACGGCATCGCTGTTGTCTTTTTTTGAATTCATACTTCAAAATAAAATCCAACTTGTGTATGCAAATCCTGCATGTTGTCATCTGCTTCCCAAACTATGGTAAATGTTGACAGCATGTATGTATAAATATACCCATGTATTTATTAATATAGTTTGGATTTTGACAAAATGCTATCTGTCTTTGGTGAATTATTTTGAAAGTATGGATGTTGTGCTTGCTCCTTTTCCTATTGGTGCCATGTGATGTTTGTAGATTGACTCTGCACTTGTTACTGTATGTGCACAGCTGAGATGCAGTGTGGTAGTAGCTGATACTTTTAGTGCTAATTGATTAAGTAAGGTTTGTTTGTTTTTTTAAAACTTTGTCATTACCTAATGGAGTCATTTAGCAAAAGGTCTAATGAACCAATAGATGGCTTTTACTGAAACATTAAAAAAATAACAATCATTCAGTGTACTGTATGTCTGCAATTGATTCAACTTTGGAATCAAGCCAATTCAAGATTAGAAAATTTATCTAAAATTAGATCAAATTTGTCAAAATCTATTTACCCTTTCTCCTAAGATGTCATTTGCAGGATTCTTTAGAACAGACCAATCTGTATTATTTGTCAAGATTCATTTTTGCATTGTCTTTTTTATTTGCTGCAGCTTGATTTCATTTGATTATTCTGAAGGACACAGAACCACAATTGAATCAGTTTGTGAAATACTCAAGAGAACATAATTATGTTGTGCTGTGAATCATCAAGGACAACAGAAAAACTACACATATCGCCT